ACAATGAAGGAGTTGCTCATTCTGCTCACAGTCTGGGATCTTAGCTTGTGCCTGTACTTCTCAACTTTGATTTCATTTACATACCCAACTACATATGTTTTGAAATACATCCTGTTTTTAATAGTCTAGTTTTAATATTTCATGGGTTTACCAGAGTTCTAATTTTTTTTTTTGAGACAGGTCTCCGTATGTGCCCCAGGTTGGTCTTAAACTCCTGATCCTCTTGCTTCAGACTCCTGAGTGCTAGAATTACAGACATGCGGCACTACTCCTGGCCTCAGAGTTGTAATTTTTTTAACCATTGATTTTGAAATGATTTAAGATGTATAAATCTTACAGAAAAGTTTAAAAGTTCAAGAATATTATAAAGAACTCTGTTATACTCTCTATCTAGATTCAGCTATTATCATTTGCTTTATTATTTGATCTATATGTTTTTTTGTTTGCTTTTTTGAGCTCTTTGAAGGTGAGCTATAGACCTGGTGTCTACCCTAATGCCTCAAGGACAAGGCCATCGCATAAACAGCTCAGTGGCTAAAATCTGGGACTTTAATGTTGATGTGACACCTTGTTTGCATGCCACCAAGTGTCCCCACAGAGCAGTTACAGCTCCTGACTCAGGATCCAGTATAGGACTGTGAACTGTGTTTCATTTCCACATTGCTTAGCATCATTTAATCTGACAGTTTCTCAGCCTCTTTGTTTTTCATGATAAGTGATTCTTCTGAAAACTGCAAACCATGCTTCTTGGTGATCAGGCATTGTGGCTTAGCAGGTGAGGGTGGTAAGTGATGTGGCTGTCAGGTGTCATGTTAGCTCTCACATGACATTGATGTGTCCCACTGTGGGCTCTCATCACTCAGGTTATTGGTTTAAAGTGGAGGCTGCTATGGTTTTCCACTCTAAAGTTACTGTTTTCTCTTCAGAATGAGTAAGTAATTTGTGGAAACTGCTTTGAGACTATGTAAATATCTTGTTCCCCATCAGAGTTCCCCACTAATCTGGTATTCAGTGAAGAGTTTTACCTATACCAGTTATTACTTTGATGGCTACCAAATGGTGATTTTGTAACTCTTTCATTATACACTTACTAGTTAGCATTCTGATATATAGAGGGATTTTCCCTCCCCCTCTTCCTCCCTCCCTTCCTCCCTTTCTTGTTTCATTCCTTCCATCCATCCATCTGTGGCCTTATGGACTTACAGATCTTTCTTTTTTTGTGGGATCTTTTACTTTATAGTTCATTGTCTAGATTTGACCAATGGAAGCCCTTTGAGCTGGCTCTTGTGCCCTTTTGACATGTTATCCATTTTTTGTAGTTCAAGATATTTTGGGTTCATTTGTACTTTCCCTGTCCTAACTCTGGAAGCAGATATTTTCCTGATGAGTTCCAGTTCCTTTTGTTGGAGAATGGTATTGAGAAACCAAGGTCTGGACAGTGAGTGCGTTCATTGTTATGAGGTTCACTGCTTCTATGTGCTTTGAGATGTTCAGACTGTGAACCAAGTCTGTAGTCCCCCACCAATCCCAGGGTTCTTCGTGGTATTCCTCTGGTTCACATCTATACCTTCCTTCTCAGCAGTCATTTGCAGTCCTACAATATGTAGAAAGTAGTTTTAGAATTGCTAGCCATCATCACTGCAGGAGCACCCATGCACACAGTTAGGCTTCAAGGACTGTTGGTGCTTCCTGTGCCTTTGTCTAGAGGATGAGCTTGAGGCACTGAACCAGAAGCTGCTTGGATCATCTGATGCTGCCTGTCAGGGGATTACCTCATGAATTTGAAGTATAGCTGTTTCTATCCCATTAGTGTATACCCTGTCTTCACTGATTTATTTTTTTTAGCCTACAAAATGGTATCATGGTTCCATAAGTTAAAACTAAACAAAAAGGTGTGCCCAGAGATGTGTCATTCCCTCTGTTCCCTCCATCTATTTCCACCTATCTTGTAGGTAACTTAACTACTTTTATTTGTTTCTTGTGGGCTTTTTTTTTTTTTAATGAACAGATTGATGTTTTTATTTTCTTGTGCAAAAGGTGAGATTTTATACTGCTCCGTACTGAGGATAGAACCCAGGGCCTCACACATGCTAGGCTAGTACTCTGCTACTGAGCTACACCTCCAACCCTAGATTTTTCTTTTATAAATTGCCTACTCATCTCTTTTGCTTTTTTTTCCCCCATTGAATTTTTAGTTTTTCCCTCTCAATTTTCATGACTTCTTTATGTATTAGGGATATCAGCACTTTGTGAAATATGTGGCAGATATTTTCTCTCAGATTATTGTTTATGTATTACTTTGCTTATTTTTTTGTTATATTATTATATAATTGAATATGTAAATATTATTCTATTGCATTCAGATTTGAATCATGAGGACCTTTTGCTTTATCCAGGATTTAAAGGAACCTATCCACATGTTGTGAAGTTCTTTGAGGCTTTCTGCCTATAAAGAACTTCCGGAGCCATTTGGAGTTTGTCCTCATGTTGGTGTGAGGAGTGGGTTTGGCTTTACCCTTTTCCAAGCAGTCTAAGTCCTGTCATTCAGGTGCTCTCTCAATGCTAGAGGACTATGCTCTACACTTGCCCAGCTTTACTTCCAGGTTTGTGGGTGCCTGTCTTTCTGCTAGTCCTCTGTGAAGCACACGTCCACACTGTGGGCATTGTTTTGTGTTTTAATTGGCAAGCAGGCCTACACCACCTGGTCCAGTGTTGCATGTTGGCCTGGGCTGGAATTATTGCCACAGTAGAACTTGTCTAAGTCCTTTCATTCTCTCTGTATGGGTTTGCCTTTCTCTCCCAGCTGCATTTGTGTCTGCTTTTTTTTCCCTCTTTTTACTGCTTTGTGTGTTTGAGTTTCCAATTTTGTGCCTTATGTATAGTCTTGCACACAATAGGATCTTGTAGCTATCTTGTGAATGATTGGCTTGAGAACCTTTGTGGTGGTGTCAGCCTCCCTAACTCTTCCAGCTCTGTCTTTCCTCCACCCTGGGCTCTGGCCTGACCGTGGCATTGATTTTCCTGCCTATGGTCCAAAGGCTGCAGGTTTTGATGACTCTTGGTCTTACTGGCTCACAATAGTGTTACATGTGGGCTATGAAAACTGTAGATGTCAGGAAAGATCAAGTCTGCTATGTGTTAGTGTTTTTAGAGCTTGTTACTCTTTTATCGAGGGAGATGAAATTAGTCTGGACCAGTAGGCTGTCCTGAGAGCTCTGCTCTGTTCCCGTCCTGCAGATTATGTTCTGGGTTGCTTTGTTTGCAATGTTTCCTCCAGCATTGGCATTGGAGTTAGGTCAGTCACTCAGGGGACCCTGGGGATGAATGCTACCTTTCTCTCCAAGGGGAATGAGCATCTGGGGACCCTCCCCTCAGGCTTGGAGCCTGTGCTACTGAAGAGATAGATGTGAAAGACTACCCTCTCACACCCATTCTGAACCCCATGTCTCTTCTTTCCTTTCTCTAAGGGCAAAAAAGTAAAATTCAGTAAGGTAAAGGTAATTGATTAGCAGTAATAAGATGTATGAACTCCCTATCATTTATTAAATACTAACTTGTACCAGAAACAGAAGACACAGAATGCCCCACACAGGACCGTAGCTCAGAGCACAGGCACAAGTCGAGCCCTTAAGACAGCAGTTTATGGTCTTGAGAGGCTGACTGCTTAGATGTCTGTCCCTGGGCCACCTGGGCTGGAGATGACATCCTCCTCATAGGTGCTGATGTCCCCTTTGCAGGCTGTTTTTGCCATGAGGAGCCTGGTGACTATCCTCATACACTCTATGCCCCAAAAGGATGCCTTGGTTCTGTGGGTTCTCAGGGCTTGTGGCACTGGTCTTGCTGGTTTGAATTTGCTCTTTAAAAAAGTAATTATTTTAAGACTTTTCTTCCAAGAATACCTTTTCCTGTTACTATTTATAGTTTTTCCTTCTCATTTCTTGCTGGGATTTTCACAAAATCCATAGGAAACAAAATCTCAAGCCACTTGCCTCTTCACAGTCCTCTGCTGTAGTTCTTTCTTATCTGGCTGGAAAGGGGACTTTATGGGTCTGACATTTTCCTTGTTCCCCATTCTGTAGAGTCTCTGCCCGTTTGTATGTTGCCATCATCTTTCCACTCATCTGTTCATTCTTCTTCTGCCTTGTTCTAAAAAGTATTTGAATAAAAACACGGAGGTGAGAAACTTGGACCAAGGTTAGAAAGCGACCTTGCTTTCTTGTGCTTGCATGGATGAGGACAGTGTGCAGTCATTAAGACCAGCAGTGAGTTCTCCCCTCGGCCCCAGCAGACCTGGGGGCAGTGGGATTTGTGGGAGATTCTGCTGTCTGTAAGATAAACACATGGTTTAGGACAAGCCCGGGTTCTCCTTTTACCAGGGCTTAGGAGAATATTTTTTTGAGTGTTCTATGAAATCAATGATTATTTCATCTTTTTTTTCTCCTCACTAGAGTTCTCTGTATAGTTGGTTAGATTCTGAAAATGGAAATTTCTCTAAAATTCCTTCCCCATGTGGGTTTAATTGCAAGCAAATTAGGCAGTTCTGCTTATTGACAGGAGTTGGTTAGAAATGGAAAATGACAGCCATGGAATAAATATTTATAGGTTTTTAAAATGCTATATGGTTCAGAAAATGTTTCACATAATCCATCTCCTGCGAGGCTACAGCGTAGCCCTTGCTAGCATGCAGGACTTCAGGCTGAGAGGGAATGTCATTGTCTAAGACGGCAAGCAGGACCTTGTAAACATGCTGCTTTTTTGTAATGCAATTCATGTTCTTTAATAAAAAGTTTCAGCAGGGAGCAAAACTTACTCTGAGTTCATTAACATTTAGTACAGTGCTTTTATGGTAAGACTATCATATGAAGACTTTAAATGCTGCTTCGTTATTTAGGACTCACTTGGCCTTGTTTAGGTTTCATGCTATCCACACTCCTCTTTAAGCCCACAGAGAAACAAGACAAAGTAAGCAAAACTATCTGTTTCTTTCTCTTGGTCTGCAGGTGCCCTCACCACCAATGGCATCAATCCTGACACTAGTGCTGAAATTGGACGAGCTAAGAACTGTCTTAGCCCTGAAGATATAATTGACAAGTATAAAGAGGCCATTTCCTGCTACAGCAAGGTGATTTTTATTGCTTTGGAGACTTTTTTTGCATGATTGTGTTGTTTGGATCACAAGTTCCCTTTTTACATTGTTAATGGCATAGTTACTCTTAATTGTGTTTGTATTGATCTGTTGTTCTCTAATGCCTGAACTATGTACCTAAAATGTTTTTTTCTGATTTAATTGTATTAAATATTGTATATTTAATATAATAAATTTGGAAAAAGGAGACAAAAACTATCATTGCCCCACTCTTCAGAGATAAAATTTGTTAACAGTTTTACGTCTGTGTCTGGTGAGCATACTGTACTTACTGTGGAATGACCTACATTTTTCATTTGACGTACCATATGCTCTTCTATGTTATTAAATCTTCCGTGGCAAGATTTTTATGACCTGTGTGGCCTTCTATCTTATGGATGCAATGTTCTTTTTATGTTGGACCTAATTTTTTTGAGGTGCTAGAGATTGAACCCAGGGCCTTGCACATTAGCAAGTGCTCTACCACTGAGCAACACCCAGCCTAATTTTTAAAAAAATTCCAAATGTTCTTACTAAAACATTGAGAAAGAAAAGCTGTTTAGAATAGTGGTACCGAGAACACACTGGTGCTGCTTTCTCTCCCCTTCTTTCCCAAGTGAGTACTAACCATTTGGTGACTTTTATGCCTGTGAAATGCACACACAGGTTTCGTTTGCAGAAATGAGTTCAGCCTGTATGTGCTGTTCTGCAGATTGCTTTATCCTCTCAGCAGTGCATCACAGATCATGGATGTCCTCCCACCTCAGTCTTGCTCAGCATTCCTCAATGCTGTGAAGAGGTCTGGTACAATGTACTCATAGCTGTCCATTCCTCATGCTGTTTTGTGAGACACTGTCAAAGGCAGCACCTGGAGTGAGACGAGACACTGCTCTTACACAGTTCATGGCTGGTCGTAGCCTACTTAATTATCCTCTCATTAATGGGCAATTGGGGGTTCTCACTTTTCCACTGTTAGAAAAGAACATTCTTATGCATACGTTCTTGTGTTTTTGGTGTGAGCACTCCTGTAGGTTAGGTTTTTTTAGACATTTAATCACTGGATATGACATTTATGTTTATCGTAGGTTATTTTCAACCTATTCTAATTCCTTCTCCAATTGCAAGCAAAAAGATAGAAAATTATTTATTTCAGCAATCCTTTGTCGCTGATTATTATTTAGTTTTTCTTTTTTTTCTTCCCACTGTTGTAAACAGTGCTCTCATAAATAGCCCAATAGATAAATGATTTTGGCATTATTTTTTAAAGGAGGTATTTCCTAGAAGGGATGGTCAAAGAGTAAACATTGTTTTAGAGTTAAATATCTCTATGTTGTCCTTCAGAAAGGCTGTTAACAATTATCTCTCCCACAAACACTAGCTATTAGCCTTTTAAAATGTTCACCAATATGAATGGCAAAAGTAACTTTTCATTGTTTTAGTTTGCATTTGATCAACTGTGAGATACTGAACATTTGTTACTTACTATTTCATTTACTTCAGTTATCATCCATCTGTGTCTTTTGTACACATGTAAGTTTGGGTGCTTTTCCTGTCCTTTCCTTTGTCATTTTTTTTGAGATGGGGGTCTTTCCTAGGTTGCTCTCAAACTCACGATCCTACCTCAGCCTTTTAAGTGCTAGGCTTACAGGTGAGCACTACCATGCCTGGCTTTAGGCTGCTTTCCTTACTGCTTTGTAAGAGCTCTTTGAATATTATAAATATTAATTTATCTATCAAAGACATCGCAAATATCCTCTCTCTCTCTTTCTCTCTCTCTGTCTTTCTGAATTCCTAAAGAATTCTAAAATACTTTAAGGTGAGATTGGGTTGGCATTTGATGGAGCTTGCAATAAGTTTTAACTTACTTGGGAAGAAATGTTATCCTTACAGTGTTGCATTCCTTTACAGAATATGGAACATGCTATTGTCTCTAGGTCTAGGACCTCCCCCACTTCCCCTTGCTATTGAGGATTGAATTCAGAGCCCTGTGCTTGCTGGGCAGGTGCTCAGCCACTTGAGCCATGTTTCCAGTCCTTTTGCTTTTCAGACAGGGTCTCATGCTGACTTTGCCCCTGCTGGCCTCAAGCTGCTGTCCTCCTACGTCCACCTCACTTAGACATCTCCTACTCTGGGCATCTGTGTATCATCATAGTTTTCTTCATGTACAGCATGAGAATTGCTTTGAATCTTATTCCTAGTTATTGTATTATTTTTGTTTTGTGAATAAGATTTCTTTCCATTATAGTTCCTGACTGCTTAAAGCAGTTGTGTAGAAAGGCACCTTGATTTTTTTTTTAATGCTTATTTTGTAACTACCCATTTAAAGTTATATTAAGCACTTTTTTTCAGAGCTCTTTCCTGGTTGTGTTTAAAAATTGGTCTTCAGCAGCTAGGCAGATGGAGAGAGGTGCTGTGGCCTGCATGTGTTCCTGAGTAGCTGAGTGGTCGCCCCTATTCTAGAGAAGCAAGACTTAGGTTGGACATGTGCAGACACCCCACTCCACTGCTAGCACGGGAAAGCCTGTGGGCATGGAGTCAGGTGGCCCTGTCCCAGGAGCAGCCCTGTCCAGGAGTGCAGAGGACACCAAGTAGTCAGACAGCTGGGGGTGTGGATAGAGCTCTCTTCTGCTGTTTGTGGCCATCTGACTCCAGTCAGGTCTGTGGCCTTTCTGAGCTCCAATTTTCTCCTCTTTCAAAATGGGGAAATTAAGGGCTGCTGCATGGAATGCCTACTCAGGGTAAGTGATTTTATGTATATAAAATGCCTAGTACAGTGACAGGCTCATTAGTACTGCTCAATAAAATGCTGGTTATTGCCTCCTTTTCCTTAGTTTAGTAGTATCCTACAAGGCATCTGGGGGAAAAGCCAGCTCCTTATATCTATGTAATGCAAGTAGAAAAAGAAAATTGAGGCCTTGCCTTTCTCTGGTTGTGTTTTGATTCCTTTGCTTCATTTAGCTCTTTCTCTTTTTCATTCTTCTTTTTCCTCCTTCACTAAAGGAGCCAGAGTCTTTCCAGTGCTACCAAGACCCCTGGGCTGGGATTTCCTGGAAGCTTGGTCCATCACCATGAAGTGACTGACATGCAGAATGCGTTTACACCTAGGAAATTTGAGTGTATTTAATTCGCACATGTGCATGCAGACATGATGCTACTTCCTACTGTATATGAGTGAGAATCACTGTCACTTCGTTTTCATTCTTGGAGGCTGATGGCGGAGTCTCTTCAACAGACTCTTGCCTGACTTCTGGAATCATTTCTTCCTGGGTGTCTGTTTTTTTTTTTTTTCCCAAGAAATTCCCTTGCCTGAATGTTCAGCTGAGATAATGGGTCATTGTACTTTGAGTTGGAAGGAACCTTGGATGGCATGTAGCCTTAACCTTTCTATTGCTGTCGGGAAACGGGCTCAAAGAGGTCACGTCTTGAGCACAGTTGCACATGAACATAATTTGGATGGGTCTTCATCACAGTGTGCAAACAATAAGAAGGCAATGGTCGGGGAGGGCAGAGGACCTGCCCACTGTGGTTTCTGTGCCTTGGCAGAGCCCTTAGTGCTCAGCTGTCGTCACAGCTGGCCACTGAAGCCTCTGCAGAGACGTTCACTCTCCCAGTAGACTAGGTTTCTAACCAAGAAGGAGCTTGGGTCACTCATACTTCTCAGAGCTTTTTTACTGACTTGCCTACTTTGAGAATAAGTCCTGAGAAACTCTTGGACATAAACACCTTATTGGTATCTTTTTTCCCAGCCCCACGTTAGTGGGCTGCTGCCTAAGACTAGGGCAGGCAAGACCTGAACAAAGTGGGGGTGACAGTCTACAGTGCTGTCACTTCTCCCTGTCCCTAATGGGAGAGCATTGCAGCTTAGGTTTGAGGTCAGGCAACCTTGAGTTCAGTTTCTGCCTCACCAGCTACTAGCTTTATGACCTTGGGTAAGAAACTCTAATTCTTGGATCCTGTTTTCTTTATCTGTAAATGGGGATAATATTTATTTTAGAGATTGTGTTTTAGACTTGGATAAGATAGTTCCCTCATTTATTCATGAAGTATTGATTATGGCTGTTGCTGGGACCTTGGTAGGCAGTTACTAGACACTTGGAGGCGAAGACTAGGGATGTCGGAGATTTTCACTAACTGCCCATTCCTGTCCACATCCCTGTTGAGTCTGTGGATCCTCCTACAGTGATGTATAATAGATTTCAAATAGTTTTTTTCATGATTCTTTTTTCAGTCTTTGTAATATCATTTAAGATACGTATGTTCAACCAGAATATGTGAAAAAGAATCCTTGAGTTGGCATTTGTTCTCACTTAGAAACTGTTTTAAGATTGTTGAAGGAAAAGTAGTCATTTTATTTCAATGGAATCAAGTTTCTGTAATCAAATGGCATATGCCACTGGTAGATTTTTGGTGTTGGTGTGTAGGTAAGTATAAACAGCTTCTTTTTTCTGATTATGTTTCATAAATTGCATGCAGTATGTCACAGATTACTTTCATGTCGCAGGTATGGAAGGGGAAGAATGTGTACTGACTCTTTTTGGCACTGTAATTACAAATCAGTGTTTTTTTTTTTTTTTTTTTTGTCAACTGAAAGTCACTCTCCAACTGGGATAACTAGAAAAAATTAAAAATAAAAAACTTTGGAGTAGAAAAGGAAAACTAGCATGGGGGGAGGTTGGAACCTTTGGGGAGAGCAGCATGAGGGAGGGAGCGGGGAAGAACCATGCCTTGGGCTACCACACTTTTCTGGCCAAGCCAAATTATGTGTGAGCTGCTGCGGTGGCTCTTGTGGACTGAGCTTGGAACTAGGGTGAGGTTCGAGAAGGGCTCCTCCAGCAGCTAGTGCATTTGCACTTCATCTCAGGAACTATAATGCCACCAAAGAGGTAGGAACAAGAAGCACTGAGACAGAGACTCAGGGGGTAGGGTGCTTGCAGCACAGTGAAATGAAACTGCTGCACTTAGAGGGACAGGCATGGAATGGTAAGCAGGAATGGTGTAGGCTGAGCATCCCTGACCTGAAAGTCCAAGATCTGAAATGTTTCCAAGTGTGACTCTCTTGTTGGTAAGGAGTGCTTAACCTGTATTTTGAAATTTTGTGAACTATCAAGCTATAGTGGTGCATTGTTGTAATGCATGCAAATATGCTGATATGTGCAGTCATAGGTTCACTCAGTCCCATTAGCCTCTCTTGCACTCATAAAGGACAGACTCAGAAAGGCCTTCTCCCTGTTGGTGTGGGAGGCCCTGGAGACCTAGCAACACCTTCATGATTTGGCAGAAACCTTTGCTGTTTTTCATGGCGGTGCCTCTTTGTACCCTGCAGTACAAGAATGCTGGAGTGATCGAGTTGGAAGCATGTGTCAAGGCTGTGCGTGTCCTGGCAATTCAGAAGCGCAGCATGGAGGCTTCAGAGTTTCTGCAGAATGCAGTGTACATCAATCTTCGGCAGGTGAGTGTGTGTCTGCCTCTGTGGAGGAGGAGACACAATTCTTGGGGGGATTTATCACTTCTCATCCAGCCGATTTTGCTATGCTAGATTGCTTCAGTCTGGCATGGTGAAAATTAGAGAATTGTAGCCTGAGAGCTAATGAATGTGGTTATTTGCGCATTTTACTTTTTTATTTTATGGGATTTCACTTTCCAGATTTGAAATTTGCTGCCCTCCTGAAATTTTTTGATTGGAGAAATAATTTTGCCTCCTGCCAGCTTCACAACTTTGAGCATGCTTCATAGCTCTTGCCTTGATTTCATCACTTGTGAAGTGCCTGCCATTTGTAACCCTGTGTGGGTTGTTGGGCTTATAAAACATGAAGTTTGTGGAAGCATTTTGTATAGCTTCTTTTACACAGTAGGTATCCACAAATGTCAGTTAAATTAGAGTCTGAATAGGCTTTTTTTGTGGTGCTGGGAATGGAATCCAGAGCCTCATGAATGCAAGGAAGGTGCTACATCCCCAGCCCTTGAATTGGTTTTTAATAAAATGAAATCATTAAAACATTTAGCTGTAGCTTGATAATGCACAGTCCCTAAGCTGATGATCTTCAGGAGGATTTTAGCTGTGCAGCTATGTGGGGACCAGTTATGAGAAGCCTGTGAGAACTTGACATAAGCACAGTTGTGTTCAATGATCTATAGGCTGAGTTTGGCATGGCTCCAGCCACAGAAGAGAGCAAGAAGGAAGACACAGCACAGCTGTTTTTCCTAAGTTGTTTACATTCAGAGAAGTTGGAATGCAGGTTTCTCTTGTTACAGTGTCACACCCCTCCCTGAGTACTGCTGCCCCACCTCCTCCTTTACCACTGGATATAAAAGACTGGCTGAAGGAGGATGGGAAGTTTTTTGATGGGGGTTTTGATGGAGGGTTTTTTGATGGGAGATTTTGATTGGCTGCCACTGCTGCCGCTGGCTGGTGTGTCTCCACCAGAGCAGCTTTCTGCACTGACAACATTATAGGCTTTAGAAAAGCTAAGCTAAAGAACAGCTAAAGAAAACATGGGACAGAGTGAGTCTAAGGAAAGAGACTTTAAAGAATAGAAACAAAGCAAGGTTTTAAAGAATTGTAAAGAAGTAAGGCCTTAAAGAATAAAGATAGAGAAAAGAAGCAAAGTACAAGAAGAGTTAATAGAGAAAAGAAGCAATGAGGCTGTTGTGTGTCTCCATCCGAGTGCCCAGCACACCTGGCCCCAGCTTTCTGCATGTCTGTCTTCTATTGTTTGTCCTTTCTGCATCTCCAGTTGTCCCCAGTTAGGTCAGGAGAACAAGAGAGTGCAGGAAAGCTGTCTACACAGCCAGGCTGACTAGAGCCCTCACAGGGAAACTGACTGCAGCATGCTGAGCTGTTGGCTGAAGGGCACTGTGGCTGAGCAGATACTGTGCTGGGAGGGGCACAGAGATGAGAAGCAGGCTGCTCCTGTCCTTACCGAGTGACAGTTTTGTGGGGAAGGTAGGCATTGAATAGTGGATGAGTAGTGAGTATGGGGGTATAGGGTGTCAAGAGGACAGGTGGCCAAAGGGGCAGGCTTAGTGTGTGGCAGAGAGTGGACCATTGAGGCTGACTCTTGAAGGATGAATAGGAGATTTTTAGGTAGGTGACGTCGCTGGAGTGATAGTCTGAAGTACAGGGGTGGTCCCAGGCAGAGGGGTGTGACCAAATGGTGAGAGAGGGGCAGAGGAGGAGGAGGGGTGAGTCCCAGGAGGACGATGAAAAATCTGTGGTTTGTTCTAGGAGAGTGGGTTTTAGAAGAAAGGTTAGGGTTGGTAGGTTGGTAGAATACCTGCTTAGCAAGGCCCTGAGTTCAAACCCCAGTACTACCAAAAATAAATAAATAAATAAATAAATAAATAAATAAAACAAAGTTTATCAAAGTAGGGGAGCACAGGGTCAGATTTGTGTGGAGGAAGGGTAGAGTTGGGGGAGGCCTGGTTTGGAGACCCTACAGTCCAGGAGAGCACAGTGGTGTCCATGAGGGTGAGGCTGTCAGTGGGAAAGCAGGCTGAAAATGTGGGAAGAGTTGATTGACTATGAGAGGGTCAGGTGGAGTCACATGCAGGTTTCTGCTGGATCCGTTAGGTGGCCAGTGGCCAGGCTGGACTCTGAGAAGAGCAAAGGACAAAAGGTGTGGGGAGATAGAGAGGAAGTGCACCTTTGGACAAAAAAGACGAAATGAGGATATGTGGGTCTGGGACTTTAAAATCATTTCTACTTGAACATGTAAAAGTATGACTAAGCAGGGAGCCTGTGGCTCATGCCTGTAGCCCTAGCTACTTGGGAGGCTGAGGCAGGAGGATCATGGTTCAAGGCCAGCTGTGGCAGCAAGCCTTGTGTTGCCATGGGGCCTATGAAGTGGCAAAGGGAGAGACAAAGCAGAATAAAGCCAGGAAGCCAAGAAGAAACAAGCACACAGATAAAACTCCACAAATGTCTGCAGGGCATTTAGTGTGCAGGAAAGAATACCACAGGGACCTCAGAGTCAGTGGTGTGCTGTGTGGTTGGGAAAGGGCCAGGAGAGGTTGGTGTCTTGCGGTTTGTCCTGGTTTCCAGTGGCAAGGGGCAGGAGAAGCAGAAACCTGGCGCTTCAGCCTGGACCCTTCAGTTACCTGGGAAACTGCTCAGAGTGAGGCATCCGTGCCCAGTGATGCTGGCGAGTGAACCTGAGGCTGAGTTTTATTGCACATTTGACTACTTTTGTGTGGATTGCTCAGGGTTAAGCACTGTGCCAGGCTATGGGTTTATGGGGATGAGGTGTGTGCTGACGGAGATTCACCTCCGTCCTTCTGTGCTGAGGGATGACCCTGTGAGGAGAAGGAAAGCGACCCAACAAGGGGGCCAAGGAGCCTCTGAGTAGAGGTGGCAGTGCCTAATTGGGCTTGAGCTTTGGGAGCTAGAAGTAATTCAGGGGGTGGACAGTTGGTGGGGAAAGAGGACAGTGCTTCAAACACAGGTGCGGTGAGATCCTGGCACCAAGCATGCTTGCAGGTAAAGAGTGCTGAGCCTCATCAGGCAGGTGCAAGAGGGCCCTGGCAGGCTTCAAGCTGGGGAGCATGGGGTGTTGGAAACAGTCAGGTGGGCCTAACTTCAGACTCTGCCATTGACACTCGTTAGCTGCATGGCCAAAAGCACAGCCACTCTGCATTACTAACTCTTGATATGCACCTGTAGAGGGACAGTGTACAAACTCACCATGATCAGGAGGATTTGTTTACATGAGAGACTCCAGGTCCTGTGCGTTTTAGTGCCTGCCCTCTGGAGGGACTTGGCAGGTGCTGTTGTTACCAGGTTGGAGGGCTTTAAGGGATGGCCTTCGTGACAGAGCAGAGGGGAGCTATTATTCTGAAGCAGACCTTCAGAGGCCCGGAGCTGGAAGAACTGCAGCCATGATGCTGGCAGCCAGCACTGGAGGACTGGGTAGAGAGCTCAGCTACAGCCCTCCCAGTAGAGCTTTGCCTCTTTTTCTTTTTTTTTTGGTGGCACTGGGGTTTGAACTCAGGTCTGCACGTTTGTTAGGCTGGGGCTCTACCACTTGAGCCACTCCACCAGCCCTTTTCTCGTATTGGATATTTTCAAGATAGGGTCTCACTAACTATGTGCTTAGCTGTCTTCGAACTGTGATCCTCCTGATCTCTGCCTCCTGAGTAGCTAGGATTGCAGGTATGAGCCACCGGGGCCTGCTAAGAGCTTTGCTTGTTTAAAACTTGGGGTTCCTTCACCACTGCGGGTGCTTTTGCAAATCAACGTCCAAAACTTGAGCTTGCTGCAAAGTTGTTTTCACAAGTGGGTATGTAAATACACAGATTTTACAAAATAAAATGTTTTCACTTAAAACGTTTGGCCATTTGTTGCTGTTTGGCCAGCTCTGCCTCTGGTGTTGTTCGTCTCCCACTGGGCACTAGAGGGCAGCAAAGGCCCACTGCAAGGGTGGCCCCACTGTGGCACTGCCAGCGTGTTACTGGGCCTGGTCTTTTCCCCAACAGGACGCTCTGCTGTAGTTGACTCATCTTGATGTTTGTCTGCCAGAGGAGCAGGCAGCAAAATAATGAGTTCTGGTGGGATTTTGTAATCACAACAAAAAGAAGGGTCTGTAGTTTTTCTGAAATAGAACAGGCTTTTGGTTCTTGATCAAGTGTACTTTGTTGTGGAGTTGGTAAGTTAGTTGTGTGTATTCCTGTGAAATGATGTGGGCAGATGTGGAAATTTTAAAAGGCACTAAGATATGACTATTGTAGATTCCTCTGCCTGCAGGGATCCTGGAAGTAATGCATCTGCACTTGCAGTGGTGGAAAGGGCCTCTGACAGAATTGAATGAATCCTCCCTCATGTCAGAGACGCCGATCCATCTGTCTTCTGCAGTGGTTTATGATAATTACCTAGCATTAGCAAATGCTGGCAAGCATCTCATCTGATGACTGGCTGTGTACAGATCTGAGTGTTGGATATAACGTTTGTATGGGCACGTGGTGACGGGGAGGTGAGATCAGAAAGTTTAGAACCTTGGTCATCACCACAGGATATAGAAGAGTTATGTAACCTCTCTGGCTGTTTCAAATCTGTAAAACTGGAAGGCCAATACTCTCTTCTTCTTGGACTTGTCAGTTGTAAGTGATTCAGTGTGCACACAGGCTGCTAGCCACCCTCCTGGGCTCAGGCAGGGCATTCCAGAGACACGTGTGTCTCAGTGGCACACGGCACGCATCAGGGGAAGAAGGTGACTCAAGTTGGTGAAGACCTATGGCAGACACTCCTGAGTTTTGAATTTGTGTTTTTCTTTTAGTCCTTAGAATTGTGTGTTCCCAGTGTAGTTATTCCTGTTTGCAGAGAGGAACCTCAGGCTAAAGGTAGGTAGTGTGGCTTGCCCAAAGTCAGACTGTGATTTAGAGGTGAGGGGCTTCCACTTGCATGGTTCATAACAGGCTGTGTGCTGCCTGCCTGCCAATGAGTACCAGACAGACTCA